TGTCATTTTTTTCTATTTTTAGAAATTGCGTCATTGTTGCTATTTTTAGAAATTGCGTCATTTTTTTTCTATTTTTAGAAATTGCGTCATTGTTGCTACTTTTAGAAATTGCGTCATTTTTTTCTATTTTTAGAAATTGCGTCATTGTTTCTATTTTTAGAAATTGCATCATTTTTTTCTATTTTTAGAAATTGCGTCATTTTTTCTATTTTTAGAAATTGCGTCATTGTTGCTATTTTTAGAAATTGCGTCATTGTTGCTATTTTTAGAAATTGCGTACTGTTGCTATTTTTAGAAATATGCTTAATGTTTCTATTCATATATATATACAAAATATATAAACAAAACTAATGTGACAAGACAGACCAACTAAATTTATAAAAAGGAAACATCAATATATGTTCAAACCTTTCTATGTTTGCGTTTAGAAAAAGTAAAAAGTCGAGCGTTGCCCCCGCCCGGCGGTGGCTCTTGTTTCTGTTAGTCTGTATAAATGAACAAGAGATTTACACTTTGTTGAAAAAAAAGAGAAAAAAGACAAGTAAACAAGTAAAAAACTTAACATTTGGCCTCTTATTCCTTTGGCCATCTTAGTTGATATTCATGTAACTGATCTTTGAAAAATAGCTGGATGGTATTTGGTTCTATGTGGGCATTGCGCTGAATTAATAATATACAGTGGATCATTTGATGTCTTCCTCAACCAATGAAACTGGAAATTGATTTTCATAGTATTGATGAAGCTTAAAACCAATTAATATTGAGAATAAAGAAAAACATGTTAAATCGTGAGAAGTAGCAAACCAAGTAAATATATAGCTTATCTGATTGATTTAATCCAAAATAATAAACAATTAAGTATATATGAGCCGCTTCACGACAAAATCTACTTAGTGCGTTTGCGACCAGCATGGATCCAGACCAGCCTGCGCATATGCGCAGTCTGATCAGGATCCATGCTGTTTGCTATCTGTTTCTCCACTTGTAATAGGGTGGGTAAGCAAACAGCATTGATCCTGATCAGACTGCATGGATGCCCAGGCTGGTCTGGATCCATGCTGGTCGCAAACGCAATGTTGGTTTCGTCGTGACACGGCTCATATCACATGGTATTTTGTGTATATTGTATTACAGATGTAAGCCAGGAGAAATGTATATCACAGTGGCAGGCTCATCACAGTGACATTAGGAACATTCAGTACTCGGCTGACTATAACTCCTGTTACAGTCTTGGTAATGACGGAAAGGTATGATTGTGTATATATACATGTACAATATGCTAAATATATGCTGATGATCTAATGATTCAGCGTAACATTGATCTGTGAAATTTACACAGTATCTTGTGTGTTTTGTGTTCAACCGTTGATTTCAACATAATAGTTATATAAATAGTTGCAAATTATACATATATTCAGTTTAAAATTCTTCCATGCATAAAATTCTTCCATGCATATTTAGGCAGGTACAGATAGTTTTGCTGTAGGTTTTCTTCTTGTTTTAGATGAGTGAATGGAGTATGCACAAGACAGGTTTAAAACTGCGGGATTTACCACTCCACCAGGGGGCAGTACCAAACTTCTCCCAGCTTGAGTCTGGTAACACAAAGGAAGTCCCTGTTGGTAAACTGTTGGCGTTGGATTCTGACGGACATTATTTAATGAGCTGCAATGATACAAGTGCTGAAATATATAGGGTATGATGTCTGAGCAGTTCTTTTTTTAGCACAGAATTTAGATGTTTAGCTAGAGTATTTAAGAAATACTAGAACTATAATCAATTTAACATACCAACTTTGGTTAAATAATATAAGCTTTTGCATGCATCTTTATATTCCATATGAGTGAGGCTAAAAAAAAGGATGGGAGCACCACCTAAATATCATATCCGGTTTATACTGTATAAGGCGCTTGAATGATTAAATGCTAAAATCTCGCCTTTTTGGCCAACGGAATGCAATGATATTTGTATATTTTGTGATCATGATTTCTGTAAGTGTCTAGAGGTACTGCTCCAACACTGTATTGATTTAAATCCATTCCATATTAATAAGTATATTGACTTCACACAAGTCTTTTTGGATCGTAATTGTACATGTAGGTCATTGCCCAAGGCCTATTATCTCCAGCAAGTACACAATGTATTTGTTTGAAATGTTACACTTAACTTTTGGGTTAATGGTATAAGTCAATAACAATGAAACAATAACAAAGAAACATAATTCTAGCATAAATTTTCTTTTTCAGGTGTAAATATGCCTATTTCCCTTTGTTAACATAACTAGAAAATGTACTTTTATGTGGTTTTGCCCTGTATAATTTACAGTATGACTGTATTTTACCTTATTTTTCAGCTAATCAAGGAGGATCCAGGACTATTGTACATGATGGATTTGAGAGGTCATAGGTCATCCTTGATAACAACGGTAGACTGGTCACCTAATATTGACACAAAAATTTGTTTGACTGGTTACCTAGATGGGAAAATTATAGTTTCAACACTGTTGTCACAGTGACATGTTAAATAAAAGACAAAGATGAAAATGCCAATCTTTGTATAGACATATTTTGAACTAAGTTAATTGGAGACGATTAACTTACTCAGCAGTTGCGAAAAATATATAGACATATACATGTTCATCAGATATATTTATTGTATAAAGATAATTTGTATCAAGTGTTATAGTTACATTGTTACATAAAGAATGTTGATATTCTCTTTGAATTGTTTTACTTCATTTCAACAAGATTACATTTTAGTCATTTATGTACTTAAGTTGAAGCAGATACAGGTACATGTAGTTTGAAAAAGATAATCTTAATACACTTACATGTACATCAGTTTTCAAGAATAAAAAAGTTTATTTTTGGTTATATATTTTTCTTTGACACACTATTAACATAATTTTTGTTAGTTTGCAGTATATGATATCTACCATTCATTGCAGGAATTTTTACTTGTAGATTTAATTGATGAACATGATACATTAGTGTATAGCTATAAATCTATTGAATTGTATATCTCTATTCTCTATCTAGACAGTAAAAGGGATGTGTGCAATAAATGTATGTTGTGTTGTTATTTATTTTGTGATTTTATTCAATAAAATGCATAAGTACTAAAGAATAAAGTGTTGTTATATTAGTATAATTGGTTATGATAAAGTAACCTCAAAAAATATTAACATTAAAGTAGATTTTCATCCTTTTTCTCCCACCTACACTTGTTGATACTCTGTGGAAACGCTGTTGAGACTGCAATTACCAGATAACTTAATGCCAAAGTAGGATAGTATCATTAAGATGAAGGCAGTTTGCCTCGCAAGCCCAACACTTGTACTTTGGAAGCATCTTCTTTCCCTCATACATCACTAGTAGGGGTTATTCAGAAAACCAACTTTAAAGAGATTTAAAGCAACACACCATACGTTGACTATGAAAAATTGAAAATCTTTAATCATTCAATAAAGTTAGCTGTACAAATTTAGTGATTTAACCAACTATCCACGGAAATTAGTTGTAACATGTCAGAATAATGCAGATCTTTGTCTTGCTTTTTATAGTAACTGGATAGAATTTAAAAATATTTACAATGTAGTGATAAAAATAGCAAATACTTCTAGACACTAGTTGAACTGTTTGTGTAATTTGTTCAAAGTTTCAACATGAATATTTGTACTACACTGTAACTACTTTTTTCCTGAATTTTTGGAAGATTTTCTTGACTCGTCTGGAGCTGGGCATCGCCAAACACCCACAGTTGATTAAAATGTAAATGTTAACGGTTCGGCTGTGGGTATTCGACTATGGGAGCTTGGATATGTAACATGTATATTATGTACTTGTCTGGAGGCATACAACTTCAAGACCTACATGTATTACTCCAGATAATCTACAGGGTGCAGTTTTTCAAAACAAGTGAGAAACAAATGTGAGAATTGTGCTAAAAAAAACATGCTTACTATTCTGTATCTAATAACTTGATAATAATTACCAGCTTGGCTCGAGTTTTCCAGAAGACATGTAGAGCTGCGAAGAGTGTTAATGTTTATTTTAGAAATCCTTTTCCTCAGACTGTTTCAAAAATGTTTCTTTTTTTCAGTCAGATAAAGTTAATATAATCTATTTAAATACAGAAATGCTTCACTAATTTGGTATACAGGTCTTTATTTGGAATACCCATTTATAACACACTGTTCATCCTTTGACTTCTATATTAGAACTACACAAATTACAATGATGTTTAAACAAAAAAAACTGCCATGGTTGCGTCCTGACTACCATAGTAATAATGAACATTGTGTTGAATTGATTTTAATGATGTTTTTTTTGTTGTTGTTTTTTTCCACATATGCAGTGAAAATCAGAACAGTAAGGCCTATACACGCTATACACAGAGCTGTTCTTAACAGAACAATTACAGTATATCAACTTTTGAAATTTTCACCAGAGACAAAAAAAAATAAAAAACAAGAAATAATTACATGGTAATACACAGTAAATCTCTTTTTAAACAAATAGTCACAGCTAAAACACAGGTACTTGAAACAAACTATTTTTAATGTTTTATATAGGCTTTATACCATAATAAGACTAATAGTCTATGAGCTAAATTAAGCGTCTGCTACAAGAATACCACAACGTTATTTTTGATGAGTGGGTAGAAATTTGGTAAATCCAAGATGGCAGCGTCCTTGTTCAGAAAACTAGCAGGTATATTTTGTGTATTTTCCCATTTTGTCAGTCTTAAACTTTGTCAAATTTAAGTTTAATTGAAAGAATAAACAATTTCTTACAGAAATACTTTACTAAACGAGAAGACATTTTCTTTTTTTTTTAGGAAATATGTATTTGTCTCATATTTTCGCGACGTTCAGTAAAGGTCAAAAATTTTAAGCAATAAAGTCTACAAATAGTCAAATACCAACTTCCTTTTGTTCTACTTTAGCCCAAATATTTGAAGAATAATGGTATATTCTACTCATTCGGTTTGATGTAACTAATTGGTAAAGGTTTTCAATGCAACTTCTTGTGCATCGGTGTGGCAGCTCTCTGTAGCCTGGAACCCCGTTGTATCGATCTATTTACCTATAAATCACAACTGCAGTTAAAAAAATTAAATATCCCTGAATCTTTATTTTGTATCATTTATTTTGATCCCTTTGTCATAATATTATAATATTTACATGGCAAACATCACTGATATATACTTTTTAGCTTTGGAATATACCTGGGACATACGGAATATACGGATATTTACGGACATGTCAAACAGGTTGGAGAATTAGGTCACGCCATTATATCGATACATTGTGAGAATCGCTCAGTTAGTCAAAGTTTGGGAAGCCTGACCCATCTTTATGCTAGATTTTTCAGTCAATTAGAATCAAAGATGTCTGTTTTAAAATGTCAGCATAAATTTAGGAACTTTCAACAGACAGAAATGTGATTTTAATAAAAACACACTATTTATAAGTCTATTTATTATCTACAAAGTCTGACGGTACTGGAAACATGTTTTTGGTCATTTTTTCGGCTCGAAACAAATGCGAAAGAATTTCGTGACACTGTCGTAAATGTTAGCAATCAGTAGCTAGTGCATTTTGCAAAAAAATCGAAAGATTTGTAAATAGATCGATACAATGAATAGCACAATACAATGGGGTTCCACTATACTAGTGTCCATACATGTAGTTCAACTAATTGTACTGCGCGACAAGATATTGTGGTATTTTCGTGTCTGGCCAATATTTCGCCTCTACGTACAACATTAGAAGTACCTTTTCTGTGGTGAAATTTGCAGTGGATTTTGAGCGCAAGTTTTGGATCATTTTTATTTTAGTTTATAATAGTTTTTAAGACAATAGACCTGGAAGTGTACTTCCAAATAGTTAATCATTTTACATTGTGAGCTTTGTTGTAATATAAATTTTTGCCTACTTTCACTTTGGACCCACAAAGTGAAAACAAACATGGCTGTCAAAGCGGAATCACCTTAAAGTAGCAAAACGTGACATTACCGCTGTGAGGTGTTTGTTTGTGTCAATTTCCCATAATTTTGCAGTTCTACCTTCGAAAGTTTTTAAAACCATCTTTATCTTACAGGTACTTGCTTTACCTTAAAGCTCTGTTTGTGACGAGTTCGCTATGAAAGTAGGCAAAGCCCATAAATATACATACATTGTAGTCTATAGCCAGCAAAGCCAAAGCCCAGGCCTGCTTCATGGTCCCGGCCATGCCTTCCCCATAATATTGTGTTGAAAAATAATGCACTGTTTAAGGTGATGCTAGGGATTAAGAGAGGTTGCACTTTTCATAATCTCTCATAAACAGGCTCAAATCAGGAATGTTTATATACAGGTCGTGCAACACAGTTGTTACTTGCTTAAGTTATCAATTTTTTTCGGCAAAATGAAATCTACCTGAAAGTATGACATTGGCCTCTTCCTCTTGTTCAAGTTCTTCTGGTATCAAAAGATAAAAAAATATTTTTTCTTTATACTTTTTGTTATTTTACCTCTTGAAAAAAATTAACAATTTTGTCTTTTGATGCTAATTTTATATGCTTTTAAGTTATTTTGTTTTAGCTGTTGATTTCTATTTTGAACAGGGACGCTTGCATCAAGTTTTGTAAGACCAAGCATCCAAACCGTCTCAACATGTCAGCTTCAGAAATGTTGTTTTAACAGAAGCCCTGGATGTTTTTCTTTACCAGCACAGAGAGGTCTCACACATTGGACACACCAAGCACAGCCAAAACTATCAACTGCAAAATCAGGGTAATAAAGTGTATAAAGAGAATTAAATTGTGTCTTGTGTACTATTAAAGACTTTAACTACCATAATCTACCTAGCATACGAAACATTGGTAGTTCTACCAAACCACTTCATGCGTCCCTCTACAAGATTTCATAAAACAAAGAGGCAAAGTAGATTGAGCACAAGTATGGCCATTATAGTTTGGTTACTATTGTTTGACTGTGTATAAAACCCTACAAAAAAATTTTGGATTACTAATTGAATTGTTATGTAAAATACTTGCTTTGTCATCATACTCATTCTACATTATTTTAAAACAACATTATATAACTTCTTCAGTAGCTCATACGGTAACAGAATATATGTTAAGGATTTACATAAACAAAGTCTATGGTAAAGGGAAGTCAGATAAACAAACTGAAAAAGCATCCATTGGCTGTTACAGAGTATCTTTGTTTTGCTTAAGTTTTTCTTATTTTTATTTAATTTATCTTAGTATCTGTTCTGATTTCCTTTCAAACTGAAATTTACACAAAGTGGTACATAGTTTACCAGAATCTTTTTAAAAGTTCTGTTTAACCAGCTATAAGTACATGTATATACAGTAACATGTAGTAATTTTTAGTTGTTTCGGCCACAAACTTTAAATGTCACTAAGTCACATCTATGTTGTTACTTACAGTTTTTTTGTTTTTTTTTTAAAGAAATTTATTGAAATGAATTATAGGAATTAGTTTGCAAAGATTTAGTAACTAAGAAGTAACATTGAGTACTAATTATAGACTTTTTACTGTTGCTGATACATGATTGTGATGTACTGTGTTACTGACTGTAAGACTAAAACTAGTTTTCATCTATTAGACTAACCGATTTTACATACTTATATTACATAGATGTTGCTATCATCATTTATATAATATAATTATAATGGCACACAATTTGTTGGGCTTGACTATATACAAAGTTTATCATTCAAGCTTTAATTGCATTGCTTTCATTACACTTTTATAGATGAAGTTTTTCTTATTTCCATTAGATGTTAAGGAATCTGGTATAATTCTCTGTTTTATTTTCTTGCAGTTCACTTCTTCAAACTTGTCAGCCATTTGTGAAAAGTGTAAGGACAGCTGTTAGATTCAGTATCAGACGTGCTGCTCCAAAAACTGTCAAGTCAGTCCCGGGAAGGTTCTTTCGCCTACCCTGGGGGAATTTATATCCCGGCCAAGATGGCGGGTAGAAAGAAAAAACTTTGGAAAAAGCCAGAGTGGATGAATAGAGAGGGGAAAAATATCATTGTGTTTTACTAACAAAACAACAGTCGCGACTTTTGGACAAAAATGACAACTGGGTTATTGGAAGGAAAAGGCGATATATGTTAATGATCCATATGCACCTTATATGAAAACGGGGACAAATATGGGATTACACCCCACCAAAATTCATTACCCTTTATAGTTTATAAAAAGGGGCTAAGATAAAACAAATGTATATGTTTATGCATGACATTGATATAAATAACATTGATGTTTTAATACGCTTTATGCATGACTGTATAATATATGTTCTCATATGGACTAATATTGAGAATTGTTGATAAAAATTTTTTGATTTTATTCAATAGTGTTATTATGTAAGGTATTATTGGAACACTTCCTTTACTTATAAAGATAAACCTTATTTGCCAGCAAAGATAGGATCACCATTTAAATAGAGGTTTTAGCTATTTTCTTTCAAAAACGATTAGTAGTGTTGTAGGTAATTATGATTAAAGAATAAAATATTATTCGAGTGGCTGATATGTGAGAGTCAATTGAGAAATAAACAAATTGAAATATGTTTTATTGGATCATGACTGTGTTTGTATTGTTAACTTTTATAATATACTGAGGTAATGTCAGTTGGAAGTGGATTGAGTAACATTTTCTAATCAAAATAGAAAAAAAAACGATGATCAGTGAGTTTGCATGCTTTAAAGCTATATTTCTGCTGCATGCAGGTTACAAAATATTTGTTTTAATTTTATGAAGAATGATTCCAAAATGCCTGCCTGAAGCTATATGTTGGCAGATTTCCTTTTGAGAAAATAGCCCATGCACAAAATCCTTTTTAACAGTTAAAAACCCTACTTCTAGGCTCATTTTGCCTTAGAAATTCATATTTATTAAATTCTGTAGAAATATTAAACATGTGTTTGATAATGTTTCAACAATGGATTTGGAGCATGATAGATGTTTAACAGCTTGATATTCAGTAAAGACTGTGTCGTAAAGGTAGCGAAATGTAAAAAAAAGTAGTATTTTGACCGCCATACAATTTACCAATTCACTATAATTAAGCAAACAGAACAAAGATAGTTCATCTATATAGATAATACGTATTTTTTGGAAACTGTAACAAGATATAAAAAAGAAAAAAGTTTTTGGAAAAAAAAACCTTTTTGGGACATAATGGGCATTTAAATAGCAGTATAATATTTTGTTTTGGAATGTTTTTAGCTAACCTGTCACAAAGTGACATGGTGAGCTTTTGTGATCACGCGTCCAGCGTCCGGCTGTCGTCTGTCACCTTTAAATATTGTTCAAAGAATTTTATTCCGCGTGGAAGTCTGGTTGCCATGGCAACCAAAAGAAAAAACTTAAAATATCTTCTTTTAAAAAACCCAAAGAGCTAGAGCTTAGATATTTAGAATGAATTATCTTCTTGTGTCTTCTTGTAGTCTACCAAGTTTGTTCAAATAAAAGTTGTGGGTTTGAATTAGCTCCGCCCCGGGGTGTCATTGATTTTCCTTTTTAAAAAAAACCAAAGTACTAGAGCTTAGATGTTAAGCATGACTTTTGTGATATCAGTTTAAGATTTAGATTTTACATCTGCTTTCTTTATAGTTTACAATATAACTTGTTCCTTGTCATTGAGAGTTTCTATATTCAGGTGAGCGATTTCAGGGCCATCAGGGGCCTTTGGTTTTCTGTTTACTCAGTTTTCATGTGTGTTGAATAAGGAAACGTTCTTTATAACAATGATAATAAGGTTATGGAAACAACATAATAATATCATTTTTAAATGTTATTAAAATAATTCATTAGATACAGCTCCTAAACCCTCGAATCAACAGTACAAAAGTATATTTAAAAACAATTGATGGTTTTCTAAATCAGTTAACAGGTTTTCAAATTTCGTTCTGATTGTCATGAATCTTTTCGTAGGTAATTCGCACTGTGACCTCTGCTCTGGTATTGTAGTATACAGAGAGTTTTAGTTCCTTTCGAAAGTTGAAGGTAACTAGTACTGGTAAACTACTTGACAGCCTGGGTTGCTGAACTCTGCTCTGGTAAACTCAATGTGACATAGGGCCGTGATCCGGAGTGTAACCTACCAAAACCACCACCACATAACATTTTAGAGTAGTCACAGTGTTGCAGTGGTAACACACTGACTACAAATGAACCGTGTCAAGACAAAACCAACATAATGGGTTTGTGACCAGCATGGAAGGGCACAAATTACTAAGACATCTTGTGTGTTGTCATAAAAACAACGTTTTGTGTAGAGGGACAGGAGGTCTACAAAGAACTATATGAAAATGAACAGGGTAAAATGAAAGGGAAACTTGGTTTCATACATTCATATTTATTTAAGATCAACAGAAACGCAAGGGTATACTTTAATGTTACAATATAGATTTTAAATGATACAAGCAAACTAAAAGCTGTGAAGGAATACATTAATTATGCACATTAAAAGAAAAGTACATTTAGCGCAAATCATGAATTCGCTGTTTCTTGAATGATGGTAACAAAGGTCGATAGAATATCAGATGAAGTGCTCATTTTTTTCTCCGCCTACGTTGTTACCTTCTACCAAAATGTAAAAAGAAACTGATAGTGTATACCAACGCAATACAAACATTAATTTTGGAGTAGAGTACACTTTGGAATTTAAGTGATGTAGAGGGGTCATTCCACATGCCGACGATAAAGAAAACCTCTCAACTTGTATATTAAGCTTTTGCTAGCCTTTCGATCATTGCGCAAGTGTTTCAAAACATACTTTTTATCAAACAATCAAGCTTTTTAATTTGTTGGTAAAACCACACATTTTGTGTTGGCTGATGAGACAGCATGAACAAAAAAGCTAGAATTCTTCGATTCATAGATAGTTTTCAAGTTAAAAAGAATTAGTTTTTGATTAAAGCACCTAGATACAGACTGTTTAAATGGCCGAGTAGATAACACCTCGTACTAAGGATCGCTATCGCATTAGAGCAAGTTTTAACCCGCTCGTTT